CTAGCCATAACATTCTCAAAGTATCGTTTCAGAGATACGATCGTCTAGCTGGTTCCAGTTCGGGGGCTGCTTTGATCTTGCCTTGAGTTGCGGCGCCTGACACTCATTTACTTCAATAAGGCGGTAATTAAGGAAAGCAGGGTTTAGAAGTCGTGTAAAAGGTAGCGAAACAGACGCATCGCATATGTTTCTTGTTGATTCATTTCACCGGAGCTATCGTCTATGGGAAGATCGATAAGGTGCAAGATGAAGATAGCGCCAGATGAAGAGGTTTAAGGTAAAGTGTTCCTGTCCGGGAAGCCCGCTGCCCTCCGGCCGGGTGTGGGTCTACGAATATACGGGTGCGGACGCGGGACCTCCGAGAGGCGCGGGATACACTTTGCAGAGGAGTTCGCCGATCCGTTATCCGCATTGTCCGACTTAACTTCTTCCATAGCACGGGCGAATCCTGCCCAGAGAATTTTGACTGGGTACGGGATGGGTTGGAGCTTATTAGTTTGCGGCTCGTGGCCTTGCTTTGAGTCAATCGGCGTATCTGTTTGGTCTTTTGTTATTGTTTGGGTTGTTGCCGTGGCGTTTCTCTGATACCAAGTTACTTTTCATCAGCAAGTTGCATCGTAATGGATCTTCTCTCTCTAATTAACCCACTCTTTCAAGACTCGATAGTCACCAGGAAACTTGCGGTGCCATTTCAGCTCAAAAACTCCAGGTTTCCGGCCTTGAGATCGGACACGGCGAGATAATCGTGCCTTTATATTAGACTGGCTGAGGAATTAGAAGGGGATTGAGCGTGCCGGCCTATTGCTTTTAGACGCATGTCGTCGTGACTACTACTATTGGCGGTAGTGCTCATGAGAAGCCCTCTGGCAATTATCCCACTCTGACTTTTCAGAGGTGACGTGAGAGGACCTTTTTGCAGATGAAGCTCCGATTCGCATCGATGACTTCATCGCTGAGAAGCGGCTTTCCGACGATGTATGATCTCAACAGAACTTGGGCACGTTTCCTTGAGAAACTCATCCATTTATCAAAGATCACTCCATCTTCCAGTACGCAAGGCCCAGAGAGTCATCGGAGTACTTGCAACTGATGAGCGGGAAGTAAAAGTTGGAGTCATGGACGGGTGATGTTGAAGTAAAGCCATGCAAAAATCGTCATGCAACTCGACAGCAAGAATACGAGATAATGCATCCCTGCGCGGTTCGCTACCTTGGAACGGAAAGTGCAGAGAGGGAGTTGGAAGCCGGCAATCTTGTACCTTCCTAATGCATGTCTGCCAAGAATTAGCGACATGGTGCGATTACACCACATCCGCTTTTCTACCCGTGATAAAGGTTTCGCGAACCCTCAAACTTTGAAGACTGATAGACTTGATTCAACATCGTAGACAGCTTTCTGCTTCGGACTGCAAACCAGAGGGCAAAGATGAGAATCTCTCACCTGGCAGGTCTCCTGTCCATCGTGTCCGGCACCCTAGCCGCGACCTTCAAGTCCTGCACCGCCGCGCAAATCGTCACTCTCGAAGCGGCCATCGAGCGAGCTACCAACAAGTCGTTTGCGGCGATTGAGCACCTGGAGGATAACCCCAACGGTAGCGATGTACAGACAACGTGGTACGGAAAGTTCAGCACCGACCGCTATAATCGCGTGTTGACGGCTTTCAAGGTACGTTTGGCGGGGCTTTTCAGTCTCATGGTACCTAGAGGGAGAGAGACGATGGATATATGAGTTAACAATCTTTAAAACAGAAATTCGCGCCTGATTTGGCCACTACGTTCTCATACGATTGCTCGTGTACCAGCACCGCTGTATACGCGACTATTGGCGGCACGTACGGCGACGTCAAGATTTGTAGTGTGTATTTCAACGAGGCCATGCTTCCGCCTGCTGGGCGGCATCGCAATCAGTGGGAGTGAGTTCACGTCTCGACCTTGAGGGCACCTGTGTCTTCTCATGATCGTGAGTCAAAGGATTGTGTCTGACTGAGATTTTTATAGTACTATCATCCATGAGGCGACGCACTTTCGAGATGTGTTAGGGACAACTGACTATGGGTATGATGTCGACTACTGCAAGCAGTTTGCCCTTGAAGATCCCGAGAAGGCGGTTAAGAACGCAGAGTAAGTTACAAGACAGCCCTTACTATAAGCAGAAGAAATTAATATCTTCCAGTAATCATGCCCGCTTTGCTGTTGAGGTGCCGCCTTGGGGTCCCTAGTTGCATATGTCCGAGTCACCACCAGGCCTATCTATGTTCACTCTCACACACGCGCAACATATAACCCTCCCGCTCGTCTCGATACCCTCTATAGCCAATAAACTTGTTTGGTGCTATCACCGGCTCATGTTAAGTGTAGTGGGGAATGCCGGGTCGCCACCGAATTGTTGCGCGGAGTCTCGTGGAGAGTCCTCGCATCGCTATTCAAGAGTGTCATACATGCGTAGGAATTTCATAGGTCCTCGGAAGGTCGTCTGGGCTTTCATTTCTGTCTTTCTTTCTCTTCGCTTAGAGGGTAGAGGAGCAGCCGCGTGATTGGAATTGTTCTCTCATGGCTAGAGCTGAGGAATTCGACATAGGTGGTTGACAAACAACGTCTTCTACAGTCGCTTGAAATGCTGTTCTACACTACATCACCTTACGCTAGATGGTAGAAGATTCCAAACACTTCTGGAATCCAAGCTTGTCATCGCTGGTCGACTGCCTGGCATGGTTGGTGTGGTCCACGCATATGAGGAAGCCACGATCCGACCGTCAGCCGTGATAAAGGGGAAGACAGGTTCTTGAATGATCTAGTAGCTAACGAGGGTTCCCTGTTCGTGTACTTTGAGCTAGTCAATCAAACTGTTCGAAATGTAAGGGAGCCTATTGATAAGCTAAGATTGATGCCGCAACCGCTGTTCCTAACGTTCTGACATCGTTGTTGGCCCGGATGTTCACTATATAATAGATACCTCGAGAACACCGGTATTCAGTGCCTTTGGCTTGATGACCTTGTACTGGGTCTCGATGATAATAGGCAAAGAAGGAGGCCGTTTTGCAGTATTCGTCTTCTCGCCTACCCCTGTGGCCGTGGTCTTGTTCCCCTTTCCCCTCCTCTTTCTCAATGATTTCGAGTGTGAGCTTACTCATATCGAGGCCACGTAGGGGCTAGATGTGTGGTGTGAACTAAGCTTGTATTCTCCATCTGTCTGTATAGCTATGTGTTTTGTGCCTTGCCTGTGGCTGCGGATGTGGCTAGCCGCAGCTCACATCAGTAAGATGCCGCTCAGATGGGGGGGGGGGGGGTCCAAGATGTGTATGTAGGAGGTTGGATTGCTAGCTAGGATTGTTGTGGCACGAGGCCCATATGTACATCCCATCCGAGACCCCTCGGAGCTTCCAAATTGGTCCAGTGGGTCTCACCCACCCACAACATCGAGGATCGCAATGGAACTTTGTCTCAAGTCATCCCCAGGCATCACTCTGTATATATTCAGTGTAGACTACATGAAAGATGACCACTTCTGACCGAGATTTGCGTCCCGATTTCTCTTTATTGCTCTCAACGTGCGTCAAACAGAAGCTTTCTGGCCACTGAATTAGTTGTAAACAACGAAACGAAAAGCACTGTCGAATCTGCAAAATACCTCGAGAAGTCACACTGATGACAGAAACTGCTAACGTTGTGGCTCACTACAAATACCAGCGTTTTGGAACGGAGCATTCGCGGCATTAGTCGCGCAATCGTATGCCTTGAGAAGTAAAGAGATTCGTTTCATAGTGGAAGGATATTTTCCGTCGCAAGGTCCATATTCATTCACAAGTACCACGCCTCAGATTAGACCTTCAAGCAGGGTTCTCACCCTTCCGGATCAAATACACGTCCAGCCTCGTGGTCAGTACCATTTCCCGAGTTATACCGAGTTGCCTGTCGCATGATCCGGCCTCATAGAAGCTATCAACGGGGGAATCTCATAGCAAGATGATGCAACTCCACAAGGAAGCCGCTCTACTGGCCTCTTCCAACCTTGCGCCTTCTTGTCGACCTTTGTGTCCCTCAGCAACATATCAGAATCTTCCAAGGTCCATTTTGGTCAGTACAGTATCGCCAAAAGGTCATTCCTGTAGAATGATGTGAGCTCTCGTTAGCCTCGAAGAGAGCCCTTGTTCTTTCCTCGGTTTTAAGCTCTACCTCCTGGTACTCTAATTCCAGTTAAGCCACACGAAGGATTTCGGAAATCTTTCTTTAGGATCGCTAGAGACCCGTAGTGCGTACCCTTACTGTTGATAAAACCATAGCGGTTGATGCCGGAGCGGCTCATGTGTAAATTCAATAGCGGGCAAAAACGGGAGGTTGAAGGGAACAGAAAGCGGTGCAAAAACTTCCACAGCCTGGAATCGAAGACATAAAGTTTCGCCTTGAAGATACGAAGTCACTAGTGCATCAATCAAGCCACGAAGTTCGTTGAGGTTGATGATCTGACGAATTGTGTCTGCCACAAAACTCAAATGATCGTGGTCACAATGGTGTCAACCGGTCTCCATCATCGACAGCCTCTTACCTTGAAAGCCACGAACCGTCTGGCTGTATGGAAGCGAAGAAAGATATATGTCCCGCAGATCCCTGTCCCGTCGAAATGCCTCTGACAGCCTTTCTCTACCATAGTCATGTTCCGCTCGGGATGCCTTGATCTGTCCTATGATGTAACATTCATATATGGTCCTTCAAAACTGAAGCTTTGCTTGTGGATAGGTAGCAAATGGAATTTTAGAGCCTTGACGGCCTTGCTCCGCTAAGCACCGCCCTGGAAACTCCTTTGAAAAGGCTGAATCTGGGAAAGCAACCTTGTGGACTTCTCAACGAATTTTCTATTCCAAAGCTTGAACCTGCTTCTTCCCACCAATGTATATAAACTCATCTTCTGCCAGACTTTTCCCTCTTTCCTTGCTTCTTCTGTCAACTTCTCACATCTGTGATTTCATCAATCTTGTAGACCATATTTTACAACAAACTCTCAAGATGAAAAGCATCACCTTCCTGGCCGGCATCCTGCTGGTCTCCGTCGGCCCCTCCCTCATCAACGCTGATACCATTCGGGGTCCGCGTCCGACAACCACAGCCGTGGCCGAGGACTCCTCCCTCTCGAATCTCCCCCCTATGTTAATCCTCGAGATCATCAACATGGAGAAGAAGAGGAAGGGAAAGGGGAACAAGACCACGACCGCAGTAGTAAGCGAGAAGACCAACCCGGCAAAACGCCCCCCTTCTCTACCAATCATCATCGAGACACACCACGAGATCATCAAGCCAAAGGCACCCAAGACCGCTGCTCTCAAGAGAGATGCTCCTCAGCCTACTGCCCCCCTTCAGGCGCGCGAGCAGCGAAGCGGTGAGGCGGATGAAAATGTCGAGTCCTCCTCCCTCTGCACGCATAATAAGTGCCCCAAGGAGATGGAGGTCACCCGCACCCTCGAGCCTAGACAGCAACAGGAGACGGACGACGCCGAGCCCTCCGCTGACGAGGATGACGCCGACTCCTACAGAGACTGTCCCAAGAGGCGCTCGCGCAAGGCCAAAATCGCGAGTATGGAGGCTACCAAGACCCTCGAGCCCAGACAGCTGGTCGTAGAGACTGCCGCCGCCGAGCCCTCTACCGGCGAAGACGTCGATTCCTACCTCTGTACACACGAAGACTGCCCTCATAAGTTTGCGCGTCTGGTGAAGCCGCGGGCCGCGAAGACCCTCGAGCCCAGGCAGCCGGCTGTGGAGACTGACTCTGCCGAGCCCTCCGCGGACAAGTACGCCGATTCTTCCCTCTGCACGCACGGAGAATGTCCTCATGAGCTTGGACGCCTGGTCAAGCCGTGGGCCAGCAAGACTCTTGAGCCCAGGCAGCTGTACGTGCCGACTAGCACTGCCGAGCCTTCTGCGGACGAAGAGGAGGAGACGGAGGAGAAGGATGATGAGTACTACGCCATGCCGCCCCCTCGCACCCGTCGCTTGAGGTGCAAGGGCAGACACAGCAGAACCGCTTCCAGCACGGCGACTCCTACTTCTTCCACCACTTCATCGACCACCTCGTCAGCCACCTCGTCCAGCACCGGCACCGTTACTGTCACCGTGACGCCGACTGCCACCACCAGCTCGAGCTCCTCTTCTTCCACCAGCACTTCCTCCTCCTCCTCATCCTCCTCCACTTCCACCAACGCACCCGATGGCGCTGTTACGCGCACCACCACGATCACCGTGACCGCGGACCCGACCTACACCCCGACTTACATCCTGAAGCCGTACCCGACGACCTTCCGCAAGGTCAGGGCTTAAACGCGGTTCTGTTGGAGTGTCAAATATGGGTGTTCGTTTGTTTGTTCCCTAGGTGTAATGAAGCCTAGGTTCATGAGGAAACTTATGGTGTATCCGGAGGTTTGTTTACCAGCTTTCCAGCTGGCGCAGTCTATTCGGCCTTAAGTACGCTTAGTGAGTGAGGTCATGGTGAATTCAAGTATCGTTTAGTAAGCTCGAGTCTTGTCCATACCGTGAGCATTTGGTGTGATCATGTATTATCTATTTTGATTGAAGATGCCCGTCTTTGCTTCCACATCATCAACCCCACGACCTTACGACCAAAGCTTCCGAATCAAATACTCAACCGCCTCAGCGCGGTACGTGTCCGGCTGAACATGAACCAAGTCGGTAACGTTGACATCGAACCCCATAATCTCGGGGTTCTCAACATCATACCGCGGCCACTTCACGCCCGTCGCCCCAGCATTCGCATTCGGATCCCCCTTGGTGATAAACCCAACCCACATCCGCGACATAATCTCCGCCAGCGCCTTGAACGTCTCGGGCTTCCCCTCAAACGGATTCACCGCCACCGCCGTCTCGTACCCCAACCCGCCCGTGTTGTTAAACACAAACGCAACCTCCTGGAAGTGGTTCACCCCCTCCGCGGGCGTCATGCCGTTGACGAGCACGTTGAAATTATACGAATACACGCTCTGATTCCCCCTCGGTCCAGCCCAATTGCGCGCAAAGAACCGCCGGGGACCATGCTGCGCGCGATCGCCCGCAAACGCATTCACGCGCTTCCACATGGCGCCGAAATTCGCCTGCGCACCGCTCGGTCGGCCCCGCAGCGTCGCCGGCGTGCCGAGGCGCGGGATATCCGGGTACAGCGCCGAGAGCACCTCGATCGTGAGATTACCCGCCCCGCCGGAGCGGAGGTAGGCCTGCCATTGCGCCGTGGTGTTGACGCCCTTGACGCCAAACTGCGTGCCCTCGTCCGAGTTGGCGCCGATCAGCAGCGGCACGCGCGTGAACTTGCCCTCGTTGACGAGCTCGTGACGCGGCGCCTCGAGGAACTCGCCGTCGACGACGCCCGTGAAGGCCGGGTTCGTGGTCGTGGTGTTGAGCACGTCGCTCAAGGTCCAGGCCGGGACGCTACGAAGGCAGGAGAGCGTATCGGACGCTGCGGAGCAGTTTGTCTTATTGACGATGGTGTCGTAGTAATCCTGCCACGTGGCCGCAGACGAAGACGCCTCCAACTCGCCAAAGTCGGTCCCGAGACCGGTGCCGCTCTGCAGGATCGCGGCGCGATAGAGCCCTTCGTCCCGCCCCCCGTAGGCCAGCATCTGCGACGCCACGCTTCGGGAGCCGGCGCTCTCGCTCCACAAGGTAACGTGCGTCGGGTCGCCCCCGAACGCGGCAATATTCTCACGGACCCAGTGCAACGCCAGGCGCTGGTCGCGGAAGCCGAGGTTGCCCGCGCCCTCGGCCTTGATCTCGTCGCTCCACAAAAAGCCCCAGGCGTGGAGGCGGTAGTTGATGCTGGCGGCGACGAAGGGGGAGCCCATGCGGACTCCCTGCTCGACGATGAAGGAGAGGTTGTAGCGCGGGTCGGCGCTGCCGCCGTTGGTGAGGCCGCCTCCGTGGATCCAGACCGCGACAGGGAGCTTTGCGTCCGCGGCGACGCCGTGAGGCCGGACGACGTTGATGGTTAGACAGTCTTCTGATACGTGGTTGCCGAGGACCCAGGTGTCGCTTCCGTAGCCGAAGCAGAGCGGGGAGTACTCCGTCGCGTTGCGCGTGCCGTCCCAGGAGGAGTTCAGGGGTTGCGGGACGCGGAAGCGGAGGTTGTCGACGGGGGGTTGGGCGTACGGCATGCCGAGGAAGAAGTCTTGGTCGTGGGGCTCGTTGTAGACGCCATAGTAGGAGCCGTTCTTGAGGTCGACGTTGGGGACGGTGCCGGTGGTGGTGTTTGCCGGGACGGCCTGTCTCGGTACCAGTGCGGACACCGTGGCGCAGGCCGTGGAGAGGGTGGCGAGCAGGTTGAGTCGGGTCATGTTGTCGTCGTCCGGGAGCTAAGCTGTGGTGACCGACGATGTCTTGACGAGCATACGCTGCAGCTGTCGTCCCGTCAGGTCACCAAGGAGCAGGGCAGCTCTCGGCCATTATGTACTTGAGCCATGGACTGCGGGACCGGGAGAAGGTCGGACATTGGACCTCTGCTTTGTTCTCCATGCTGCGAGATGAAGTCCACCATGGCTCGACCCCTCGAGGACGATGATCCCGGCGTCATGCCACGAGACCAATGCCGGCCGGGGGTGGCAGGGGATGGCCTCCAGGCTAGTGTAGTGGACTACGTCACTTTGTCAAGAGAAAGACGAAGTCCGAAGCGGTCGTTTACCGTGGTATTGAAGCTGTGAATGCCAAGGCCCGTGGTCGGTAAGGTCAAGAAGAAAAAAATCAGTAGCTTATTTGTCGTTGATGGGTACAGAGTAACATGGCATGACAGGTCCGATCCAATGGGCTGGGTTGGCCTACCCCGCAGACGCAAACGCTCCGCAAGAATCGGCCCTACCCTGGCACTTGGGGAGCATTGTGGAGGGATTTGGGGTTGGGTGGTGTGGGGGAGAATTAGAGAAGTTTTGACAAGACTCGTGAGGAACGGTTCAGGATGTTGGGTGCGGTCAACTCCCGAGGGGACCATGGATACCAGACGAACGGGTTGCGATGCCGGGACGGTGTTTGGCTTTGTTTAACATTCGAGTTCCGAGTCGCCCATTTCCACATGCCGAACATGCAGAAGTCGCGTTGTGATGCTGTGTAATTCTACATTGAGGGAACACTCTGCTGGTGGCTCGATTCACTAGGCTAAAGTCCAGCAAAATCGATTCTGATGAATAGTCTTGTCAGTGCTAGCTTGGCTCCTCGAGTCAAGTCTATCAAGACTTTGAGCCGAAGAAGTACTCGACTAAGCTATCTACCTAGGGTATGCATAGCCTAGGTGCCAGGCTGGAGCCACAGCATTTCTCCGCGTTTCTCCGCCTCCTCGTCGTGGAGAATCCGGCAGTCAAATTTGGCCCCCGACGTCCCGACAGATTGTCTCTAGTTGGCGACCAAAAGGGACAGTTGCTGACTTGGGGTTAATGGGCAACTTCTATTTCAACAACTGTTCATAGTAAATTGATCACTGGGTATTAGTCTTACTCTTCTAGAATGTAGACTAAGGAAAATAGAAAATCGTAATGGAAGAAACCAAACTTGGTCGGCTCGTCGGGTCGGCTAACACCAAACCCCGTACTGTGTCATTCACCGTTGATTTGATCTAATTACACCGTTCCGACACACACCGAGAAAAGCGGGACCCAGGCACTCACCGAACCAAAAAACCAACGACGTCATGCCGTCCGCTCCGAGACCACGGCCCCGAAAACTCGGCACCAGTGCTGACGACAAGGGGGTCCGAATCTCGAATCCTTCCGGCCACCATTCAACGTCCTCCCACTCCGACCCAGTCACAACGGAAAATCCTAATCTTCAACGTCCGGTAGACCCTTGAATTCCCAGGCCTCAAACTGACCTCGACGACTGTATTACAAATCTCAAATCCCGAGCCTCTGTAAATCTCTCATTCCTCACCTCTGAACCCCTCACTCACAACAACCACAGAACAAAACATCGCACTCTCACCTCATTCATCACCCACAATCCAATCATCCACACCCACCTCCCCAAGAGGAAACCCTCTCCAAAAAAAAAAAATGCCTCCAAAAACCCCCAAGCCAAACGGCACCTTCACCTACTGCGTCGGCTCCAACCCGCCCTTCACCCCCGAAGAATACGCAAGCGACCCGACCCGCCGCCAGCGCGCCCTCGACCACCTGGCCAAGAACGACCTCTACGCCGCCACCGTCGTCACCTTCAACCTCCCCGAGCGCGACACCTACGTCTACCACGCCATGACGGCCGTCCGCCTCGCCGAGGTCCAGCGCGTCGTCAGCATGGGCGGCGTCAACGGGTTGCATGCGTGGTATCGCGACGAGGAGGGGAAGCCGGTATGTTTGAGCGGTCTCTGTTGTCGATTGTCTTTTATGCTCTGCATATTTCCTTACTTTCCCTACTTCAAGATATCAGTCTCCTATTGTGTCAGCTCGGTCTTCTCGTACACACCCCCCCATCCCCCCCCCCCCCCTTTATCACGTCTCCGACAGGTCTCTCCTCTAACTCCCAACATCTTTATGTCACCCATCATGTCATGCTCGGCCATCACTCCTTCTCGCATTTATCTTAACCCTCACTCCCTAATTGTCTCTCTCAACCCCCCCCCCCCCCCCCCCCCCCCCCCCCCCCCCCCCCCCCCCCCCCCCCCCCCCCCCCCCCCCCCCCCCCCCCCCCCACCCCCCCCCCCCCCCCCCCCCCCCCCCCCCCCCCCACCCCCCCCCCCCACCCCCCCCCCCCCCCCCCCCCCCCTTCTCCTTATCACCAGTTTCCATGAGCCTCCACCACCAGCCCTCTCCCTCATCATCAGCCATCACCAACCCTCTCCTTCCACCTCATATAGAACATCAGAAGACTAACATCACCAGCTCGACCCCCCACCCCAAGCAGACATCCAATCCTACATCCAAATCTTCTCCCCAAAAACCTCAACCCCACAAGCCCTAAAATCCCACCTCGCAAACGCCAAAAAGTCCTCCCTCCGCTCCCTCTCCGCCTCCCACCTCCTCGCGCACCGCTACATCCACCCGTCCCTCCCGCACCTCAACGCGATCCCCAAGTGCAAAAACCCAACCGCATCCCTCCCCCCAAACCCCTCCCTCGACTTCTGGTCCTGGTCCGCCCTCTCCCTCCAATACCTCGGCCCCCTCCCCAACCTCCCCCTCCAATCCCACCACGCCCTCCCGATCCTAATGCACCACTTCGGCTGCGCCACGCCCTCCCACGAAGCCCTCTCCGTCCTCCGCCTCCTCGCCGGCCCCCGGCCCATAGCGGACATCGGTTCCGGAAACGGCTACTGGACGCACATGCTCCGCCTCTAC